CTCATAAAACTGACATTATCATGTGGCGACTTTCGTGTTTTACAAGTGCCCCTTTTGGGTTTAAATAAAGGAAAAAGAACGGGCACCTGAGTAAAAACCCCGACATTTGTTACGGTAGTAAGAAAACTTTCTCCACATTAAAAAATCGAAAACTCGAAGTCACTTTGGGGGTTCTCTTTACCCCTACTTATGTAGTATAAAACAGAATACGCGCCTCCAAAAATCAATACATTTGATTGAAAAATGGGTATTAAATTAAAATATTTTTAATTTTTTTAAACACAAACAGCAAGCAACATATCCATGAAAACTCAAAGTGTTAAAAGCATCTTTGAAATGAAAAAATCCAAAGACTAAGGCATTATTTTGCCAAATTTCTAACATGCTACCTTAAAATGATATGGTAAAACAAGGTTACTTTTGTTAAAACTACGTTTACGTTAAAAATACAGGGCCTTGTTCCCATATGGGTTCTTCAAATTATTAATATTTTGATTGCACGTGTAACTGCGAAATATATTTTGGTCCATATGTAAATAATTTGATAATTTAGATATATGCAGTTAGATTGGGACCCTGGCAGATGATTCATACCAAATATCATTGTGGCCGAAAAAACTTTAAATTTTCCACGATGATTAAAAAATCCACTTTACATCAAAACCCGCGTTTTTCTCCAAATTAAACAATATTTTGCAAGGAACATATATTCCAAACTTACTCCTAACTTCTTGTTTGTTTATATTCATACTACGTTTAGACAGTCATTTATATTTCGAACAAACAAATTATATAAAATAATAATCGCACATAACAGATGTCCATGAATTTCATAATTCGTTTTATAATCCAAAAGAATATACCTAATTGTTTCAAATGAAAATCAAAACAAAACAAAATTTTGAATGTCTTCCGTATCCCTCCCTAAAATTTTAACATTTTACAGCCAAAAAAAATCATTCACTTTATAATTGAAATTATTTTTTATATACATTTTTATTTTAGAAGAATTGTTTCAAGACAGAAATTGTGTGTGTACCGTGTATCTTTTGAAATAACAGTGTGTTCCGTATCATTTCAACATAACTTTATGAAAATATGCTAAAACATCACTGCATTCACTCGATACTTGGACATGAGTAAATATATCAGATTTAAAACATGTATCTTTCTATGAAATAGTGTCAAAAAACATATGACTTGCTAGAAAATCGCATGTTATGGCCAAATGAGTGTGAATCCGTTCCCCTCGGCCCAGGCTATGAAAAGAAAACTGTACTCGAATTTTTCTCAAAAACCAATTCAGGGGTTTTCAAGAATTTTGATATACTGTGGATAACTTATATAATTACGGGTACTCTGCGCCTTATCTGATCAAAATCGGTTGAGTAATAAATAAGTTATGAAGAAAAAACATACCTGAATCGGGTGAAAAATCGGCGTGTTCCGTACCCGAAAAGTCACGTGGTATGGCCACATTGTTATACCCGCGTTTGATTAATTTTAGGAAAGCTAAGATATGACCTTTTAACCTTTAGAGAAGATTTAGACATTAGCGATTACATTGGGTCGATACCGGTAGCGGATTTATCGTGTTTTGGAGTATTTCATGAGAGTTTATGTTGTTTTTATGTGTACTGTATACTGAAAAATAATAGACATGTTTCCAACATTGAATGTGATCTTACAAACAGTTTTGTTAATTATAGGAACATATATCTTTTATCATGCTGTTTCGATATTCATCAATTATCGACAAAACAAGAAAATATTCAATGGAGCTAAGGGACCAGAAAAATATCACTGGTTGTTTGGCAGTTTCTTTTATGTAAGTATGTTTTTTTTTCTGTTTAAACGGGACTTCTATGTCAGCATACAAGTTTAAATGCCAAGATGGCTTTACAATAATATAAACAATAATATAAACGATCTGTTAACTTGTCAAATAAACTTCAGGTACTTTATACTGACCTACATGATATGAACAGATTAGGTTTAATAGGTCATAATATAGGACGAATTTTTATGCGACGTTAACATGCTATTGAAAATATGCTTTCATTGAATGCATTATTATACAGACGCTTGGGGTCAGATCCTGCCCCAACGTGATACGCTCCTGAAAACACCATATCAAAAATAGTTAATATTTAAATACGTATTGGACATCTGTTTCAAACAATTTTTACAGAAAATTTACAGACAAGGATTTTTCTAAAAATAGATTCCCTTATAAGAAATTCACATAGCAACAGTTGCTGGTCGTACAAACTTTTTGTCCGACCTGTTACCAGTGATATAGAATTTAAATTACTTTCAGTGTGGAGTCAATGAAAAATTATAAGTTTAAATTAATTTTTTAGTATAAATGTATGAAAATTTAATTTTAATTCCAGATTTTCGGAGAAAAAAGGAGGATAAAGAAATCGGCCCGTCCGTCTGTTCATCTGTCCGTCCGTCACTTTCATACCATTTCCATTACTAAGCCTTTCATCAAAGGAGTTTAAGTAGCTTGGCACAACTGTTTATTATAATAATACGATGTCATGCGCAACATCCATACCCCTACCTCAAACGTCAAGTTCACACTTGGTGATAAAATGTCAACATTGTCTGTTGGATGGTATATATCGTGTCTGGTCAATAACTTTTTAATCCATTAAGGGATTGTGAAAATACTTGACAAAATGTTCACAATAATGAGACGACGTGTCGTGTGCAACACCCAGTCGCCTACTTCCAAGGTCAAGGTCACAATTGGGGGTGCAAGATTAACTTGGTCTGCTATAGGGTATATTTTGTATCCGATCCATAATTTTTCAAAGATCAAAGGATTTTAAAATAACTTGGCACAAATGTTCCAAAACATAAGACGATGTGTTATGCGCAGGGTCGGATCCCTACCTCCAAGGTCAAGGCCACACTTAGAGGTCAAGGCTTATCAAGCTTATCCGTTGCTATGAAAAATTGACCGGAAGAAGTATTTTCTCGCGTATGCGCAATCTGCGTAGGGCAAAAAGATCACCGCCCTACATAGAAATGTAATAAAAGTTCATAGACAATTCCGAGTTAGTTTAAGGTAAAAATAAGAAAATCATATAAAAAAGCTTTTAACAGAAACACAAAGGATACCATTATAGCTTTGTGGCTAAGATTGCCATAAAAACGCATGGAAAAGACGATTGCATAAGAATTCCCCCTTACGTTCACGGACCTGACATTGAGATAATTGTTGTAAAAAATGAAATAAATATACATTTATTAGCAAATAAAGAAGTCAATATAATTGTTATTGAAATCGTCCATATAAAAACTAAAGACATTTTATAACATATATTATTATGAAATCGAAGTAATGATATCATTCTTAAAATAACTCGGAACAAGTGATAATGCACTAACCGCCTTGTCAATCCACTCTCAAAGGAATACCAATTGTGTAATATTATGTAATACAAGGGTAACAATATTTTAACTTTAACATCCTGCTGTTTCAGTTAAAATTACTGATGAAAAAGTCTTTTAATGAGGACTTTTGGTCCGCTAATTTTGTATATCTGTTATGAATATCAATTCATGATTTAAGTACTTACTGCTTTAATTCATACCAAAATTTCTGTTTTCTTGGTGACAAAACTTATAATCACGTTTTGTAAAGCCTTCAAGTACGCTAAAATCACAGATGTATATGTAGCCTCGTGCTAAAATCGGTTGCTATGGAAAACTCGTACTGTAAAAAGGTCTATATATATTTTGTGTCCAGCCCATAACATTTTCACCAATCAACGGATTTTGAAATAACTTTGCATAAATGTCAAAAGATTTTGCACTGAAAGTGTAGATCCATACCTCAATCTTTTGAAATAGCACAATTTTGTGTTTGATTTAAAACTTCCCTTAGTCAGTGAACATCGGTCACTCTGTTACAAATTCATGTTGATGGTTGGGTTATTTTAAACAGTTTAGCTTCACGGGTATAATTCTGATGATGTAGTGCTAGGGGATAAATTATTTAAAGAAGATTTCTTCGATCAGGATCCATGCTGTTCGCTATCAGTTTCTTTACTTGGTTGTAGGTCCCTGTAAGCGAACAGCATGGATCTGATCAGACTGCGCGGATGCGCAGGCTGGTCTGGATCCATGTTGGTCTCTAACACATTATTTAGTTTTGTCATGACGCGGCTCATTTACAGAGAGAAAAATGGTGTCCATCGCCATATAAGCAGATTGTAGTCATTTTTTTTTGTTCCATTTTAAAAAAAATCTCTATTTGGATAGTCGTTTAAAAAGTTTTTTTTTCTTTTCTATGGGTTTCCCCCAAAAAAAAAAAATGTTTTTTTTTAAAAGGGGCAAATTCCGAAGGTTTAAAAATTTCTTTTAAATTTAATGTTTTCGTATTATTTCCATTTCCCGAAGTTCCCCATGAGGGGCAAGTATTTGATCAAATGTGTAAAAATAGGGAATGTCAAGGTTTTTGTTTATTTTGGGGTGCTTTGGAAAATTTGGCCCCTCCGTCCACGTATAAAGAAAAAGTTTAAAAGCAAAGGTCAGTTTTTAAATTTTTTTTTAAAAAATTTTTGCAGAAGCAAAAAACATAGACAAAAAAATTTTAAAAAAACCCAAAAAACCAAAAAATTATTATTTGAATCGGTAAAATGTAGGCATTGGTAATTTAAATCCAATGTTGAAATTATCACAATGTTAAGTTCGTAGGGTATCCCTTTTTCTCTTTGTTTTACTGTTAATACTCCATTAATCAAATCATCTGTTTTGAGAGAAATTGTGCCAATATGTTAAGATAACTAACATCAACATGCAATACACGTTAATGGAATTGCTTGCAGTTTAAAGCTTTACATTATACATGATATGAATCATTATTGGGAAGTGATTAATATTATTGTGCTTATAACTTGAGACAAGTCTTGTCATGATGAACAAGGATACTATATTTCCATTTTCATTTTATATCGGAAACAGAACCCAAGTCGATGGTTTAGATGGAGCTTACAGAATTTATATCCGTGGCTTGGAGATGGATTGCTTGTAGCTAACGGTGAAAAATGGGCGCGAAACAGACGTCTGCTTACTCCCGCCTTTCACTTTGAGATTCTGAAGCCGTACATGAATGTATATAACCAGTCTGGTGATGTGTTTGTCGTAAGTTTCTTCAATTTTAACATAAAAAATGACCAAGTCCTTCGAGCAGAACATAGAATAGCGATAATACTGAACTACACGCATTGCCAAATTTATGTTAATTCTAAATTGCAACAATGAAATCCTTTGAACTCATATCGCAATTATATTTTGTGTTGCTGATATTTATCGATTTTGCATGATAATTTGTCATATGACGTCAATATTGACGTCAAAGTTTAGTTCAAAACAGTCAATTATTTATTTTTGAATATTGCTTTCCTTTCTATTTTTAATCAAGAAATATAAAATTTATGCCGTTTTAGAATTGACTCGCTCTACAATATCTCAGAGTGTACCTTTTTTCCAGCGCCATTCTTACCAAAACAGCATTTTACTTAGATCCATTTCCTACATTTTATTTCTGTGATATTGTAGGAATGTTTGAAATAATCAAGACTGTCTTATGCGTCACTAATTATCTGCTCCAATAAGTCAATATGTCCTTTCTAGAAAAAGCTTGCAGCTCAAGCAAAATCCAATGAAAGATTCGAAGTATTTCAGCACGTCTGTATGTATACATTGGAGGTTATATTAAAATGTGCGTTTTCATACAGCGAAGACGTTCAAACAGCGGGGTAATGGATATTATTTTTTAACAATTCGATAAGTCTTTTTACAGCTAAAATATAAACAATTTTTAGGAACTCAAGTGGTATTCTATATAACTACATCCGACTTACAATTCAAACAATAGTCTTACAAGTTAAGATATAACAAGATAAATAAAATATTTAAAGAATCAAATTTAAATAGTAAAACATGGGCGAAGAGAATGAATTGAGCTTTATTTTATTACACATTGTACCTATATTTCATGGATATCCATGTTCTCTTTACGATCAAAAGTCTTGTAATTAGTTTTGTAATTTTAATACTGAATAAATAAGCTTGCTGATTTGTAAAAATTACGTTTGTAAATCTCATTTTCAGTGATTCTAACGAATACGTAAACACAGTGAATAGAATAACAGACGCTGTGACATACAGGTTCCTGTAAGTATTTTTACTTTAAAAATGCCATACTTGATATTGTTGAGGATTTTAGCTACTTAGGTGTTAAGTTTAATTATAATGGTAAGTTCAATAAAACTACTAAATACCTGTGTGACCAAGCTAGAAAAGCTGTTTGCTGTACTTAAAAAATCCAGAACTCTTTGTCTTGATATAGATTTACAATTACAACTTTTTGACTCCATGGCCACTCCTATTTTGTTATATGGTGTAGAAGTGTGGGGTGTAGGTAACATTGATATTGTAAAGCAATTTCAGTTGAAATATCTTAAACTCATAATGAATGTCAAAAAGTCCACTCCTAGTGTTATGGTATTTGGGGAGCTTTGGTACTCTTCCAATTGATTGTGTCATAAAATGTAGAGTCCTAAATTTTTGGTGCAAAATCATAAATTCAAAACCTGATAAAGTATGTAATATTATGTACAAACTAATGTTGAATTGGACCGTCAAAACGTATATCACTCCCATGGATAGCTTATGTTAAAAAATCATTGCAAGAGCTTGGTTTTGCTGGATACTGGATAACACCAATCTGTGTTATCACCTTCTTATTTTAAAAATATTGTCAAATCTAGAATCAAAGACCAATATGTTCAAATGTGGCATGAACAGGTGTTTAACTCTAGCAAATGTATCACTTACAGAATTTTTAAATCCTCATTTGAGTTAGAACCCTATTTCAAACTTTTACCTAGAAATGTAGCCTTATCGCTGTGTAGGTTTAGATGGGGTAACCATAAACTCCCTATTGAAAAGGGTCGTTATATAAATTTGGATCATGATTTAAGATATTGCCATCTCTGTCCAAATAATTCTTAATTAGGTGATGAGTTTCATTATATTTTTCTTATTTTAACATTTATCGTAGAAAGTACTTGCTCATTAATTTACAAAGAGGTAACATGTTTAATTTACAGCAATTATTTCAAAATACTGATAGAACTGTATTAATCAAACTGTCTGTTTTTACATAAAGAATAATGTCTATTGTGAAATAATGTTTACCACCTTCTAGTCGGTATCTATTGCCAAGTACGTATTGTCTTTATTTTTCATTATTTACTTTTATGTATTTTATTTAATTTTTTTTGTTATTTTTTCATCTTTAAGGTCTCATGACATTTGTAATCGCATTGTGACACTTCCTATTTATTTTTTGTGGAACTAATTGTACCGGCGTGGTGTGGTTGCAATGTGGGGCTGTTGTGGTTACACCATGTCGCTGCATCACTTCATTTGCGTTTTGGTCAGGAACTTTCATTGTGCGGTTGCATTATGTCTCATTCTAGTCACTCATTTGTAAAGTCATTCATAAGTATATCTAGTCTTATTTTTGTATTTATCATGCAAATTATTTTGTCTCAAGCTTTATTTACACATCTGTATTATTTTGTTAATGCTCATTTGTTTGTGAAATTTTACTGTGTATAAAACTGATGCCCATATGGGCCTAGTTGAAATAAAAAAAAACTTGAAACTTGAAAAACTTATAAACTCATGTTGTTTGTACATCCTGTGACTGTTTTTTGTTATAATTTTCTCTTTTTATCGTAGTTGTAATGTATTGTAGTATGCACGTTATAAACGTAAACCCTGATTCAAGTGCATGTCCGTGATCTTAAATCGAATTAATGTCGATGCTCACTCACAGGAAAGAACCAAAAATGCCAATTATCGTTGACTTTTTCCCAAAATGTTGTATTCTCAAAACGAAAGCCATTTAAGTTTTACCAGTTAAAACATAATGTTTAATATGCGGATGTGATTTAAAGTACCTATAGACAAGTACATGAACTTATATTTTTTATTTATTTTTCAATAAATTTTGCATTTTTCTAGCAATCCGTTGATGTACTTTGATACCATCTGGAACCTGAGTTCAATCGGACGACAATTTAAGAAAGATTGTAATTTTGTTCATACAGTAGCCGAGGAAGTAATTGACAATAGAAGAGATGCTTTGGTAATTTTAACTATAGTACAACTCTGACTGACTTAAGATAAATAACGATTAGCGTAAAATATCACATTTGTTTTGTTTGATTTTACGCTACACCTACAAAATTGAGGTCATATGGCATTGAAACAGGAAAGACGATTATGGCTAACTTCGGGTGTTATAATCTTAAAGCAACAAAAGGGGTGAAAACCACCTCACTCGTGGAGAACAAAGAGATGCACAAATGCGTCTCTTACAAATCATGCAGGGTTAAATGGTGTCAGCAATTCTGAAGCCTCAACCCGTAAAGATATATCGTAATGAAAAAGAACATACAAAGTTAAATTAAAGTTTTATACCTGTCTCTAATAAAGTTCTCCAGGGACTTAAACACATCTCTTGTCAATTGTTGGCCAAAACTTATTTGAGCCGCGTCACGACAAAACCAACATAATGGGTTTGCGACCAGCATGGATCCAGACCAGCCTGGGCATCCGCGCAGTCTGAACAGGATCCATGCTGTTCGCTATCAGTTTGTTTACTTGTTCATGTTGTTATAGGGTCTGTAAGCGAACAGCATGGATCCTGATCAGACTGCGCGGATGCGCAGGCTGGTCTGGATCCATGCTGGTCGCAAACCCACTATGTTGGTTTTGTCGTGACGCGGCTTATTTTAGTTTTGTCTAATATCAGAATAAACAAGATAGTACCAAAGGCAGCCGATACACTGACTTCCTAGATATTCTGTTGACAGCATGTGACGAAGACGGACAAGGTCTTACAAAACTAGAGATACGGAATGAAGTGGATACTTTCTTGTTCGAAGGTGACCTTGATTTTAACTTAATTATTTTTCTTCATAATATACAAGTTAAAGTTATATACGAATAGTAGGTTGGAACCAAAATATATAAATTATAATTCGTAAATTGTAAAGCACGATATTGTTTATGATTATATTAATAACAAATAGACTATATAAATGACTAAATGCAGATGCCTTGTTTTATATTTTAACATCAAATAAATAACACATGTAAGTAATAAAAAAAATTATAGCATATAAATTGTTTCGCTAGGTCACGACACAACAGCCAGTGCCATATCATGGATCTTGTATTCTTTGGCAGAGCATCCTGAATGTCAACAAAAATGTCAGACTGAGATAGATGAGATACTTGCAGGCAAGGAAACAGATGACTTAGAGTGGTATAAATTTTATGTGACACAACTATGATTATATGAATTCTTGAATTGTAAAGGATTGCTGTATGTATATGATGAGATATAAAACAATCAGTGGAAGTTATTTGCATAAAATTTATTTCTGTATTTTATAGGTCTGACTTAAGTCACCTAGAATACCTGACTATGTGTATAAAGGAAGGAATGCGTCTACATGCTCCGGTTCCGGCTATAACACGAGACATCACTGAAGACTTCGATCTAGGTGATAGAGTTGCACCTAAAGGGACAACGGTCATCGCAAATATTTGGGTATTAAACCACATGGAAACTATCTGGGGCCCAGATCACATGGAATTTAAGCCAGAACGATTTTCGAAGGAAAACATTGACAGAATTGAGCACTTTCAATATGTTCCGTTCTCTGCAGGACCAAGGTAAGTCTTACAAATTGTATGTTAACACTGCTCACATACTTAAAATGAATTCTTAAGGTACAACTGTCATAGCTCTTAAATTATATTCTACCATCTACAGTATTGTCATATATCAGCAAAAGACAACACTTTTTTAAAGTACTAATTTTTCACTTTAAACATTTTATTTGAAATAAGATCAAGTTTTAGAGGCCTATATGGGCGAATTATTAAGGTAGCTTAACTTGAATCATTTGCCCCTCATCGCTGTGGATTCAAGCCCCGCTGTTGTGGGTTCAAGCCCCGCTGCTGTGGGTTCAAGCCCCGCTGCTGTGAGTTCAAGCCCCGCTGCTGTGGGTTCAAGCCCTGCTCGTACTCTGGATCCTCTTTCATTTGAGGAACTTTTTCAGCCTGCTAAGGGAAAATAGGTTGTTTTTTAATCAGGTGCACACTAGTACCTGGAATAATAATGTTTTCCTGTACCAGTAAAGCTGGGAAGTCGCCACATGACCTTACTGTATCCGTGTGACTATTCCTAGAAAGTTGAACAACCTTTATGCTTTTTTTTAGCTCACCTGTCACAAAGTGACAGGGTGAGCTTTTGTGATCGCTTTTCGTCCGGCGCCCGTCCGTCGTCCGTCCGTCCGTAAACTTTTACTTTAAATGACATCTCCTCATAAACCACTAAGCCAATTTCATCCAAACTTCACAGGAATGTTCCTGGGGTCAAAATTGGCCCCGCCCCAGGCGGTCATTGATTTTCCCTATATGCATATAGTAAAAACTTAAAAAATCTTCTTTTAAAGAACTAGAGCTAAGATATTTAGCATGAAACATGTTCTAATGGGTGTCTACCAAGTTTGTTCAAATAAAAGCCCTGGGGTCAATAATGGCCCGCCCCGGGGGTCATTGATTTTCCTTATATGTGTATAGCAAAAACTTATAAAATCTTCTTTGAAAAAAAACCCAAATAGCTAGAGTTTAAAATTAAGCATTAAACATCTTCTAGTGAGTGTCTACAAAGTTTGTTCAAGTGAAAGCCCTGGGGTCAAAATTGGCCCCGCCCCGGGGGTCATTGATTTTCCTTATATGTGTATAGCAAAAACTTAAAAATCTTCTTTGAAAAAACCCAAATAGCTACTGTTTAGATATTAAGCATGAAACATCTTCTACTAAGTGTCTACAAAGTTTGTTCAAATAAAAGCCCTAGGGTCAAAACTGGCCCCGCCCGAGGGGTGTCATTGTTTTTAACTATATGTGTATAGTAAAAACTTAAAAAATCTTCTTTTAAAAAAACCAATGAGCTAGAGCTTAGATGTTAAGTGTCACGGTTCAGAACTGTTCACTATATAGGGGAGAAGATGTGTAAGCGGCCGGATAGCTCAGTCGGTAGAGCCGCGGTACGGTATTCCGAGGGTCCCGGGTTCGAGTCCCGGTCAGGCTGCACATTTTTCTCACCCTGTGACATTTGGCGCCCAACGGGGGACCGTGGCTGAATACAGCTCAGAGTTTAATTCACATTGCTCTGTAACTCTGTGAAATTCGAGGACGAATTTCAATATAGCAGGGGAGTATGTCACGGTTCAGAACTGTTCACTATAAAGGGGAGAAGAAGTGTAAGCGGCCGGATAGCTCAGTCGGTAGAGCCGCGGTACGGTATTCCGAGGGTACCGGGTTCGAGTCCCGGTCAGGCTGCACATTTTTCTCACCCTGTGACATAAGCATGAAACATCTTCTTATAGGTGTCTACCAAGTTTGTTCAAATAAAAGCCCTTGGGTTAAAATTAGCCCTGCCAGGGGCGGGGGAGGTTATTGTTTTTCATTATATGTGTATAGTAAAAACTTAACATCATGAAACAGCTTCTAATGGGTGTCTTCCAAGTTTGTTCAAATAAAAGCCCTGGGGTTTAAACTGGCCTCGCTCCGGGGCCTATATACAGGTGAGCGACCTCAGGGCCATCATGACCCTCTTGTTTGCAAACACATCATTATCTTTTTATTTTTTTAGAAACTGTATCGGACAAGTATTTGCCATGAATGAAGAAAAGGTTATCCTGACAAAGCTACTTAGAAAGTAAGTTTATTTCCTTAATATTCTTTTAAATAGGAAAAATCATCAAAGAATTTGTTTTTTTTTTTGTAGAAGTTCCGTAGTAAAAAGTATTGTTTGTATAACATTTGGCATCTCTTTAAAAGATATTTTATATTCTGTAAAGGGGTGATCACTTGAGATAAATAAAAATAAAAGCAAATAGGTTTTAATGAGTCTGTTGGTGAGAGATTATGAAAGATATTACATTTCTCACGCCCCCTAGCACCGGCTGAATCGGTATTCAATTTTTAACACTGAAAGTGTTGGAATCAATGATCCCGAAGGACCAGAATAACAATAATTTAACACTTGTATTAAGTATGGCACAACATTTTACAGCTGCTACATAGCACTTTAAACACCTGTTATAAAGCAATTAAAGGTTTTTTGGAATTTTTTAAACAAAAATATTGATATAATCACTTTTTATAAGAATTTCTTCCACGTATAACAACAAATATAATTTGATTGAATTTTATATTTCAGTTTTACATTTCGTCTTGACCCATCACATACAGTAAAACGTAAAATGTCCTCTGTCATGAGAACACAGAATGGAATGTACATGTTTGTTGAGAAACGAAGACTTGAATAAATTTTAGACATTGGAAAAATGACATTTCTGATTGCTTTATTGTTATCTTATACAATGTTTATGGCATCTAGTTTTATATCATTCGGACTTATAATTGAATTTGTTCTACCTATGAAACATATGCAATATAAATATTAAGACAATTAAAAATTGGACAACATTCAAACGGATGTAATCACAGCTGGCAGGAACTGTCAATCATTGCTTCATTTTTAATTTTTCACTGGATTTGAAAAAAGTCCATGATAAAAAAACAATAAATAAAATAAAGTAAAAACAAAACCCACAAGTATACGAACAAACGAAGAAATATAGAAAAGATAAATATGGTTGAATTGTATTCTATGCCTCTACAATTTTAAATGAATCATGAATAATAAATCACTACTGCAATTGATTTTTCTTTTAAGAAAACGAGTGACTCTCCATAAGCATCCACCTTATTTTCCAGACTTAGTACCCACTCCTTTTTTCCTGAACATCCGAAAGGTCATCGCTACAAGAGTAGAAATGGACTTGGGTCGGCCATCTTTCAGTCTTTGAAAGGTATACCAAAGGAGGCATATTTTGAAGCATTTAAAAAAAATGATTAACATCTGAATCTTTGCATTTCTGTCGGAGACTATCTCGAAGGGTTGAAATAGAAAATTTAAAATATTTTATCTTTTGTTACCTTGAAAGACAATAATGCATTACATATTGACCCACATTCGTGTAAATTGGTTCACCGTTGGGACAGGAAACATTTTACCGGTAGTAAACATTGTCATTCACACAATCTAATTGTTTCATGACTATATTATTCAAAGGCCATTCAAGTTGTAGGAATACTAGTATCTGAAAGTTGAATGAGTAATTCATTTAAGAGCTGACGAATAATTAATTCTATTGTAAAAAACTAAAAAAATGAGGCTGTTTTAATTTAGAAAAGGAACAAAGTTTTGAAGAGTAAACAACTTTCCTTTGTGTTCAAGAAAGTGTATTGTTTGTTATCAGTTGGGTATTATAAAAATAAAAATAGTGTAAGATGAGTTGATAATTACAAAGAGCAATTAAATATGTCATTAGAAATTAATAAAGTGCTGCAAATAAACCTTTAATGTACCATCAATTTAGCCTCAATCAATTTATATCTATCGCATTCATGAATGGAATTGTCATTTATAGAATGCTAAAATACTGATTAAAGACTTTACAAAGCTATTTTAGGCCAACAGTGTTGCAGCGTTTGACTAAATATAAAGAGTAGTGTTTCGTACATCGAATGCTTTTAATCATTAATAAAGATATAAATTGATAAGTTTCTAGTTTCTATTTAATTTTCTGAATTCACTAGTGCAAAATAATTTGGTTTATTTAATTTTACCCATGAAATATGGTGCTATATCAGTCAAATATATTTCATATTTTTTAAAAATAAATATGAAATATAAATATGAAAGTGGGCGGAGTCAAAACTCATATTTATTTTAAGGGACTTCTTTCGCCGTTTTGTTTGTAAAATCTGATGAATACAAAACAACTTTTTCTTGAACATTGTTTTGAAAACTATCTAGCATGATAGAAAATGGTCTAACTAAGAAAATTAATCCGAACACCAATATCTTTAATTCAGTAATTAACGCTGTACAGACGTTTAAAGAGCTGTTTACATGACGTCACAATGTAGCGCCAAACAGCGCGTGCTTACGCATAAATTACTGCGCGCTGTACAATTGCAGTTGGTAGCAAGCAAGGGGATTCGTTAACATTTTCTTTGATAATGAAATTAAATAAAAAGGTTATTTTTTCGTTTTTCGTGAAATATGGTATATATTTTCACTCAACATGATAAAATGCCACATATTTTCACTCGCCGTACCGGCTCGTGAAAATATGTGACATTTTATCATGTTTCGTGAAAATATATTCCATATTTCACGCAAACGAAAAAATATCCTCTTAATATTTGATCTTTTCCAAAAGTGTTTATATATATATATATCTTTAAAAATAAAACAATTTCTACATTTTCTATCATCAACGGTACAGCACTAGGTTTATTCCATCTGCCAGTTTCGATTTCAGTATGTGAGAGGAAACACTTAGCCGAGACAGTGCAATCGAAACTTTTCAATATTAATACAGTTTAAGTACTTCTGAAATTTGAAATCTACAAATAATACACGAGCTCTAGTTTAGTCATTTAATTCTGAAAACCAATTTTGGAAAAAAACATCATTTACGCTCTGTTGACTTAACAGATAACATACATCTTCATCTACTTGAAATAACCATACATCGTTAAAGTGACTGTAATAAGTCCCCATGTTCTTTAGTAATGCCTCTGTACAATAAATCATCCATAACTGCTTTTACATAGTTACATCCTTGTTGTTGTTTAATTTAGTATGTGAGAAGTTAGCAGTTAACAGTGAGCTAAGCAAAAAGGCATTACGATTTATATAGGGAAATCAATGATCTGCTGTTATGCTCAGCTGGGTAAGCAATCTAGCAGAGCATTCCAAAATAAAGTGTAGAAATGCTTTGCTGGTATGCTCAGCTGGGTAAGCAATCTAGCAGGCCATTACTAAATATAGTGTAAAAATGCTCTGCTGGTATGCTCAGCTGGCTAGGCAATCTAGCGGGGCGTTCCAAAATATAGCGTAAAAATGCTCTGCTGGTATGCTCAGCTGGCTAGGCAATCTAGCAGGGCATTCCTAAATATATTGTAAAAAATACTCTGCTGTTAAACTCAGCTGGCTAAGCAATCTAGCGGGGCCATTACTAAATATAGTGTAAAAAGCTCTGCTGTTATGTTCAGCTTGCTAAACAATCTAGCGGGGCATTCCAAAGTAAAGTGTAAAAATGCTCTGCTGTTATGCTCAGCTGGCTAAGCAATCTAGCGGGGAATTCCAAAATATAGTGTAAAATGCTCTGCTGTTATGCTCAGCTGGCTAAGCAATCTAGCGGGGCATTCCAAAATATAGTGTAAACATGATCTGCTGGTATGCTCAGCTGGCTAGGCAATCTAACAGAGCATTCCTTAATATAGTGTACAAATGCTTGGCTGTTATGCTCAGCTGGCTAAGCAATCTAGCGGGACATTCCAAAATATAGTGTAAAAATGCTCTGCTGAATTGCTCAGCTGGCTAGGCCATCTAGAAGGCCATTCCTAAATATAGTGTTAAAAATGCTCAGCTGGCTAGGCAATCCAGCAGAGCAATCCTAAATATAGTGTAAAAATGCTCTGCTGGCAAGCTCAGCTGGCTAAGCAATCTAGCAGAGCGTTCCAAATTATAGTGCGAAAAATGCTCTGCTGGTATGCTCAGCTAGCTAAGCAATCTAGCAGGGCATTCCTAAATATAGTGTTAAAAATGCTTAGCTGGCTAGGTAATCCAGCAAAGCATTCTGAAAATTAGTGTAAAAATGTTCTAGGCAAACCAGCAGGGCATTCTTAAATAAAGTATAAATTTCGTTGGTCTGCAACTGATTATTTGGCACTCGTAGACTTTCTGAAATATTTAGTGCCAATGCAGATAATGACATTTTTGACTTCTACGGGACCCTCAAGTGTCTATTTCTTTGGTCTCCGACTGATTCTGGGACGATCGCAGACTTTCAGGAATTTTTGGTGTTAATGCAGATAATGACATTTGTGAATTTTTAGGACCATCCAGAGTCCATTTCGTTGGTCTGCGAATGTTTCTGGAACACTCGCAGACTTTCAGAAATTTTCGGTGCCAATGGAGATAATGACATTTTTACTTCAAAAGGACCCTCCTGAGTCTACTTCCTTGGTCTGCGACTGATTCTGAGTCACTCGCAGACTTTCAGGAATTTTGGTGTCAATGCAGAAAAAGATATTTCTGACTTATTGGGACCTTTCTGAATCCATTTTTTGGTCTGCAACTGATTCTGAGGCACTCATAGACTTTCAGGAATTTTTGATGTCAAGGCAGATAATGACATTTTTTACTTCTAGGGACCATCCAGGGTCCATTTGTTTGGTCTGCGACTTAATCTTGGACAGTCACAGACTTTCAGGAATTGTTGGTGTCAATAGAGATAATTACAATTTATGGCATTTTTGACCATCCAGAGTCTATTTCGTTGGTCTGCGACTGATTATTGGGCACTTGCAGACTTTCAGGAATTTTTGGTGCTAATGCAGATAATGACATTTTAGGGTAAAAATGCTCTGCTTATGACTAAGGGGTCCTTAAAAGTAAAAAAGTCATGTTCTGCAATGGCACTAAACATCCTGAAATTCTGCGAGTCTCAAGGAATCAGTTGCAGACTCAAGAAATGTACTATGGCGGTTCCCTAAAAGTCAGAAATGTCATTATCTCCATTGGCATCAAAATTCCTGAAAGTCTGCAAGTGTTCCAAAAAATCAGTCGCAGACCAGCGAAATGAACTCTGGTGGGTCGCTAGAAGCCAAAAATGTCATTATCTCCATTGGCACCAGAGATTCCTGAAAGTCTGCGAATGTCCCAGAATCAGTCGCAGACCATAAAATGGACTCTGGCGGGTCCCTAGAAGTAAAAATTGCCATCATCTCTATTGGCACCAAACTTTCCTGAAAGTCTGCGAGTGTCCAACAATGCGCTGCAGACCAATGAAATGGACTCTTAAAGGTCCCTAGAAGTCAAAAATATGATTATTTCCATTGGCATCAACCATTCCTGAAAGTCTGCGAGTGTCCAAGAATCAGTCGCAGACGACCAAAATGGACTCTTGAGGGTCCCTAGAAGTCTTAATTGTCAATATCAGCATTGGCACCAAAATTCCTGAAAGTCTGCGAGTGTCCTTCAAAAAGTCGCAGGACAATGAAATAGTCTCTTAAAGGTCCTTAGAAGTCAAAAATATCATTATTTCTATTGGCACCGAAAATTCCTGAAAGTTTGCGAGTGCCTCAGAATTGCCTAGAAGTCGAAAATGTCAATAAAACTTTGGCAACAATAAATCCTGGAACTCAGAATCAGTCTGCCAACTGATCATTCCACCAGAGCATTATTTAACTATATTTCGGAATGCCCTGCTAGATTGCCTAGCCAGCTTAGCATTCCATCAGAGCATTTTTACACTATATTTAGTAATACCCTGCTAGATTGCCTAGCCAGCTTAGCATTCCAGCAGAGCATTTTTACACTATATTTCGTAATGCTCTGCTAGATTGCCTAGCCAGCTTAGCATTCCAGCAGAGCATTTTTACACTATATTTAGGAATGCCCTGCTAGATTGCCTAGCCAGCTTAGCATTCCAGCAGAGCATTTTTACACTATATTTAGGAATGCCCTGCTAGATTGCCTAGCCAGCTTAGCATTCCAGCAGAGCATTTTTACACTATATTTAGTAATGCCCTGCTAGATTGCCTAGCCAGCTTAGCATTCCAGAAAAGCATTTGTTCA